AAATTAATCAAATTAACATGTAAATTCACGTAGTAACCTTAAGATTTATCAAATTGACATTCAATTTCATCAAATTTAATACAAATTCATCAAATTAAACACCAAATTAGCATTTATTTCATCCAATTTATATTCAAAATTCATACAATTAACGCCCAATTAATCAAATTAATATCTACAATTATCCAGTAATAACACTTTTATCCATATATTATGGAAATTTTGTCAGTTTTATCCCTAAAGTATCAATTTTGTCAATTTAATCTTGACTAGTTGAATTTGAATGTTAATTTAATGAATTAAATATTTTTTAGATAAAACTGAATGTTAATTGGATTAAAATTGAATGTTAATTTTGTGTTAAATTGATGAATTGAATATTACTTAGATGAAATTGTATGTTGCTTTGTGTTAATTTGATAAATTGAATGTTTTGTTGTTTGATTTGGAAAATTAATTCAATGAATTGAGTGCTAATTGAATGAAATTGAAAATTTAGTTATTAAATTTAAATAACATAAAAATATTAATTCACGACATTTCGTCGGGAATATTTATTTTTTAACGACGTTTTTATAAGTTTGTCGCAGAATATAAATTTTTTTTTTACTAAATAAAATTATTATTTCGCGACGTTTTTATATTCGTCGCAGAAGTTAAATTTAGAAATTTTAAATTACAATTAAAATATTATTTGCGACGTTTTATTTTTGTCGCAGAAAACGTATCACAAAATGCAATTCCCTCCAAATTTTTGAGTTGTGGCGGGAAAATTCTTTTTCTGATAATAGTTTTTGCGACGTTTTCTTGGTTCGTTGCAGAATATAATTTTTTTAAAATTAAAATGTTATTTGCGACGTGTTATTTATTGTCGCAAAATATAATTTTTAAATAAAAAACCAAAATGACATCGTTTTTGGGCTTTGAAAAAAACCTTTATACCCAAAACGGCGTCATTTTGAGTCTGTAAAAAAAATAAAACCAAGGTAAGCCGTAGCAGTCCCTTCTTCACGATCAACTTCTCTCTCTCTCTCTCTCTCTCTCTCTCTCTCTCTCTCTCTCTCTCTCTCTCTCTCTTACACACACACACAGAGAGACAAACGATGAGCTTTGTCCAGCCCAATAGATCCTCTGATTTCACAGCATTCAATGGAGATCAAATGAAGGGGGGTTCGAGTTATTCTCGCCGTTGCCACTGTCTTCCAGCGAACAGGTAAGTCTCGCCCCCTCTCCTTCTCTCTGCTCCATTCGCTTCCTGTCCCTCGCTCTCTCTACCACCATTTACCACCACCGTCTCCCACCACTACCCCAACCAAATTCCTTCTATCAGCCACAAACCCCTTCCTCATCAAGACAAAAACCCCCTTCTTCCTTTCCTCCCCTGTCGCAAAAGCAAATCTCCTTCCTCATCAAGATATAATTTTGATGTTGATAAATGAATATAGTTGACCACCCCATTCCTTCTTATAAATGATTTTTTTGGGGAAGGTTTCTTATAGATGATGTCACATTCCATATAGGTCTGAATTTGGGGGCATTCTAATCTATTTCTAATTATGTGACGAACAAATATATTGAAAGATTCTACAAATGTGTCTATCTGCAATTGAAATTATATGATGTTTATTCAAATATTGGCCTGTTTCATTTTTTTTTTTTATGAGATTGTAAAATTTGGGTAAGTTAATGTTTATGGAGCTTCTTTACCTTCTGGGAAAAAGGTCTATGTAGCTTCTTTTGAAACGTGAAATGTATCTGTAGACATTTGCTCGAAGTACTCGTTGCTACAAGTGGGGATGTCTATGCTTGAGCCTAGGGAAGAAAAGTAAACTCCAACTAGAACCTGGGTGTTAATTTTTTTGGGTTAAGTCCATATAGCAATCAATGTTTCAATGCTATTATTGGATCACGCCCATGGAAATTTTGGTTGCTCTATTTGTTGGTCAACATTTTTTGATACAAACTTTTTCGAAACTCCAACTATATTGCAGACAAGCAATTTAAGATTGCAATTTGATCAGGTAAATGAACTTTGCCTTTTCCATTGGGTCTATATTCCGAGAGTGGCTATATAAACTGTGTTTTTGCTAGATGCCTTTGAGGGCATGACATGTTCAGCTTATAGGCAATATATTTAGTACTTGTTAGCAATCATCAAAATCACAGCAACACACATACCTTCACACAAATCTAAGTTTGCAGAACTCGAACACAAACAGATACATAGATGCAAACAAACTCACGGGCTCACACATTCATACACTTGAAAGCACATATTTGGTGTAAAATTGCAAATTAAGTTTAGTTGTTGAAAATGGTTGTTAAGTTCATGAAATAGAGTTTTGTAAATGTTGAATTGAAATTGGTTAATTTAAGAGTTGACATAATATAATTTGAATCTACAATTCATCAAGCAACAGAAAGTAAACCGAAGGAATTCGTGTGTAAGTAAGAGAGAAATAATACATTGATGAGAGAGAAAGAACTTCAATTATTTGGTTCAAGAATACATTTTGGACCAATAAAAAATGTTTGTACCTTAAATTGAAATGTTTACATATAAATGGTGTTACTTTTTTTTTTTGGTAACAGAGTATTTTATCATCGAAATTATTTTCTTATATCACTTTGCTTATAAAATTAATTGTTTTATATCGTGTATGTCACATGCCTTATGCCAACTAATGAAAAATTTGACGTTATAGACCAAATGGGAGTCCTTGCTTTTCACTGCCTTTTTTTTGCAAGCCAGTGTTTTTTCTTTAATTAATGAGTGAATTTGAATAAAAAAAAAAATCTTTAGTTTTTTTTTAGTCTTCATATAACCGAAATTTTTTTTAGTTTTTTTTATCTTTATCATAGCCAATACTATACTTCCTTTTCAAATTGACAATTAAGCTTGCAAAAACCTTAGAGAAAGAGGCTCAAAGACCATGAACTGGAACCTGATCTTTAAGGAGACTAACCGATTACGCACCATATTTCTAATCCCTTGGTAATTACATTCGGAATTCTTGATTCATTCTTGAATATTATGTTGTTTCTTTCTTCATAAACAGTGACTAAGAAACACAGTTTTAGCACAACAGTTTTAAGCGATTTGCTTGTGCACTCTTCGGTAATCACGTATATGTTCATCAAACACCAAAATAGAGAAACAAAGCAAGAGCAAGGGCTTAGAGTTTATATTTAGGATTTGCTAGATCACGTGTTGATTTTGAGTCTGGTTTTAAGTTTGGGTTTAAGAATTTAACCATAATGAATTGCAAACTTATTCCGTTTGTGATCATATGACCCTGAATCATAGAGTACTTGTGATAACTACGATCCCTTGTTGGATTAGGATGCCTATAATATCACTATGTTTTAGTTAAACACAAACAAAGTCAAAGTGTTATTAAATGTAAAGAATGGCTTGTAGTGTAGAGAGAGCACTTCCCCACAACGTTGTTCCTATTCTATGATATTTGCTTGTTAGTTTTGTTTGATTTGTGTGTATAAACAAGGTTGACAATCTTAAAGAAAATGAATTCCATGGTTTTGATGTAACATGAGCCACATGACCATTATAACATTGTTAATTCATTGCTTTATTGTGTGTGTGTGTGTGTCTCTATTGACATTGGTGTGTGTTTGTAAGTACACAAGCATACACACACATGTGTTCTATATGTATATAAGTATAAACATAATCTACTGGGTGGTGGTGTCCGTACTGTGTCTGTTTGATTCTAGGTGGATTTGGGTATTTGCATGTTGGTTTTGTATATGATTTCAATTTGGCGATTCTAGTCCTTTGGTCAACATGGGGTATGTCTGGTTGCTGAGAAAATGTCAGTAAGGAAAGGAAAGGAAAATTGGGATTTTGCAATGCAGATTTGTATAATTTTAAGTAGGTTTTGTGTAAAATTCACAATATTGGGGATACTTGAACTTTGAACAACATATGGTCTGCTTGGTTATTGTGATTCTTTTTGCTAGTGTACATCATCCAATAGTGACTGCCCTATCAGCCATGCTAGTCAACCCTCAAATCCCTTTCTTGGTCTGCCCCTTGAATCTGGTAAATGTGAATCTTGTGGTACTGCTGAACCTGGGCAATGTGAAGGTATGTAGGATATTCCTTTTTTGGCTTTGTAATTTTTGTAGAAACTCTATTTTACTTATTAATTTTTTTTTTTTGGTGGACAATGAGCAAGTTTTCACTATCAGAAAACTTTGAGCAAATTGGAAGGAAGCCTTAACACTATCAAAGCTGGTGCTAAAAGAAGGTAATCATACCCGATTTTTTTTTTGTCAATGAATTGAATATTGTAAGAATGAAAACTATATCAAAAAATTTGTAATTGGTGTTTTGATTATATGTATCCTCTGAATGGTTTTCTTTAGCAGGGAGGAAATATACAAGTCAAAAGTAAAGTACTTTGTGAAGAAGGGGAAGCCGTACATCTGGTATCGGAAAAGGACTTGCATAGCGTGGTATAGTTTCTTTTGTATGTAGGTTATACTATTTTAGTGTTTGCTATGTGTTTATGTTCGAATCACTTGTTGATTAATGTTCGCATTTAGAGTTTTATGTTCGAATGGCTTGTTGGTTTTGACAATAATCCCATCATAACACGAAACTTAGTGAAAAAAGAATGCAAATAGTAGAAAAGGAATGCAGATGCTGAACCAAATAGCTTTGTTTTGTCTCATGCAATTTTCACCTTAAAGTTTTCAATGTCAATAGGCCCAGAACAAACATTATCGTCAAATTTTATTGTTGGGTCCAAATTTCTGTTAGTATTAATTTATGCAAGTTAGTATTTTACTTATGCAAGTTAGTATTTGTATATTCTATATAGGGAACCCAAAATTTGGATTGACTTTGTAATTTAGAAAGATGAATTAGAGTATACGAGATTATGCAATCGCCATTTACAGAATGTCATGGGTTTTGGTATTTATTGACATTGGACTACTATTTTTTTTTTCGGCAAAAGAATTTCAAGTAGTCGAATTTATGAGTATTTGGCACTGGATAACATTGAATATATAAACAAAAGTGAGGACTATGTCCATAATTTGGGAGTTTCAGCTATTTTTCAAAGTTTCTGAATTATTGCTTTTATGAGGAAAAATTAGATTTCAATGTAGATTAAATGGCTGTTATGCATTGTTCTTTATGACATTGGACAAAGTATATGAAGTATGTTTGGTGGCAGAGGAGAGTGTTAATTCTTGAGGTTATGACTTATTACTCTCATAGTGTCATTATTTTAACATTATGCAAATAAGATTGTCCATGTTCTCTTGAGTGAAAAATAGAACTCAGCTTCTATTATCGACCTAAGTTGTGAGGTTTTTTTATTTGTTTGTTTGTCTATTTTATTGTTTTTTGTTATTAAAGGTTTTTCAGGTTTGCATTTTATGTTTGGTTACTGGAAAATGAAATAGAAGAAGATGAATTGAGGTTTTGGGTCTTAGTTTGTGCTAGAAAGAGTGATCAGAAGCACTATTATTAAGTTTAGACCAATTACTTTGATGAATACAGGTCTACCTTGCAAGTTTTGGTATTAAATTAATCATAGTATTTTTTTTATAGTTGATTATCTGTCAGCCTAATTCATAACTTTTGAAAGAGCTTTTACAATTTAGGCTTCATTTGGGGTAAACCTTTTAGAGTTGCTAATGAATAATCATCTGCCCGCTATTACCAACTCCGTCATGCATTTGAATCTGCTCATTTGTCACATGATAAACTTGCTGCATTGTTACCTCTCTTGGAAGATGGACCAATGATATGTTTAATCCATGCAACAAGTAAAATCTAGAGCCACTGCTCAGTCACTATAAGTTTAGAATGCAAGGGTAAATTTCAATCATGGATGGTGGACTACACACTCTTCCCAGTCTCTATCTCACACGCCCAGCGACTTTGCTTCAACTGGCACTAATGGAGTAATTTAGTTGTCTTTTGTTTTTGATCCAGAATTTCAGGCTATGGGGTTGCATTCTTTAAGCTGTAGCTTTTGCATGTTGGATATGTGATGAAGTACCTTGAGCGAACTGTTATTTGCATTTTTGTTTTTCTTTGTTGGATTCTATTTTAGATGAAAAATAATTGTGACTATTCTAAAAAATTGATGAAGCTTGCCCCTTAACTACACACAGGTTGCATAGATTGGAATGGCTATGCTAGCTTCTACAAGTGAGAATCCACATATTTAGGTGGGTTTGACATGAACGTCAAATTTAACTGAATTATGGTAATAATGGTCGGCCATAGGAAACTTGACATAGCTTTTTCCTCCAAAACTAAGCAAGTAGTTATATTTATCGTGATTTGCTTGGCAAGAGAGATTCATATAACTTAATCTATTAATGTCTGCTTCGATTGTTTGAAATTTTTTGTAGGCTTTAAATAACACTACTAAATTAGAAGTTACCTGTAAGCTGGCGTATTGTAATGATGAAATTCTTGGTCTTAGTTTTGGGATCTAGGCGTTGGAGGATAAATGTGGATATCTTAAGCCATTTTTAAATAGTTACAAATGAGTCAAATAACATGGATAGGAGAAATAATTTACGATAAGGGGGGACAAAATCATGAAAAGGATTGCAATTTTTTGGGTGTTGCAAAGGGAAAAAAATGCATACTTTAGATGGCAAATATGTTTCATCCATGGGAAGTGAACTCAAATGGAAATAGACTTTTGTCATCAAATACTAGAAATAGTCTTCACGGTTCAAATTGGGCACAATTCAATGGGGTGAAGCGGGGAGGCACAATAGAGATTTACAGTCCTTAGACCCCATCAAACCATTTACAAGAACCCATCAATGGGGTTAGGGAAGAATTTCAGCTTAACAATTTCCCGCCTCCAAGGCCATCTTTATACTGACACAAAAAATGCGAGTTTTATTCTAATCATTTCTCAATAAGTTTTGTTCTTCCATCTCACGATTTCATTTTTTATTCATTCCATTTCTTCTGATACTTTTCAGTTGGAGATGGCAGAGGAATGCTTAAAGCATGCAAATGACTTGAGTGGTTTGTTATTACTGTATTCTTCTCTTGGAGATGCTGAAGGAATTTCAGAACTTGCATCTATTGCCAAAGAGAATGGAAAAAACAATGTTGCATTCCTGTGTCTATTTATGTTGGGTAAATTGGAAGATTGTCTGCAGCTACTGGTTGACAGGTAATTTTTTTCTCTGCTTACACACCCTGTAGGCATATCTAGTTGATTTAGGTGCTATTCTGAATTGCAATCTCTTTTGTAGCAATTGGATACACTACCTTTAGTCAATCTCTTTATGCCTTTCCCTCATCTACACCAGGTTATACCTTTGAAAACGCCCAAGAGATGAACTCTGCCTTCAGTTAATCTCAAACTAGTTCCCAGATGCAAAATCTTGGTCTCTACTCAAGTGCAATGGTAAATTATATGTGACACTTTTTCTTGATCCTGATACTGATCTGTTGAGCTTGAAGGTGATATTTCAAGGCATGAAGCTGGACTGTTGGAGTTGTTCAAATTTAAGAGACATTAAATGTAATTAGAGATGGTATAAATCCTTCTGATGGATTAAAACCATTTTTTCTATTTTTAGAACTTCTTGTTCTTTGATTCTTGTAATTCATTCTTTTGGGAAATAAAATTATTTTTTAAAAAAAAAGATGTGCAATGTATTAATTATGTTAATTTTTTATTGAACACATGTATTATTAGTGTACAGGTGAAAAATTTTATTGGAATATCATTTTTTATGAATTATTTTTTTAAAAAGAGAACTTTTTTGCGACGAAATTAAAATCGTAGCGCAAAATTATATGAACAATATGTTTCGCGACGATTTTTTTACGTAACGAAAAATTAATTAAATTATTATTTTTTATATTTTTATTTATATAAAAAATTATTAGCGATAATTTTTTTACGTCACAAAAACTGAATTAAATTATTATTTTTTATATTCTTATTTATGTAAAAAAATTATTCGCGACGATTTTTTTAAGTCGCGAAAAATTAATTAAATTATTTTTTTTACATTTTTATTTATGTAAAAAATTATTAGCGACGATTTTTTTACGTCGCAAAAATTGAATTAAATTATTATTTTTTATATTTTTATTTATGTAAAAAATTATTCGCGATGATTTTTTTACGTAGCAAAAAATTAATTAAATTATTATTTTTTACATTTTTATTTATGTAAAAAATTATTAGCGACGATTTTTTAACGTCGCAAAAATTGAATTAAATTATTATTTTTTATATTTTTATTTATGTAACAAATTATTCGCGATGATTATTTTACATCGCGAAAAATTAATTAAATTATTATTTTTTATTTTTTTCGTGGAATAGATTTTAGCAACGTTTTTTGAACTATTTGCGACGTTTTTTTTTCGTCGCAAATTTTTTTTTTTTTTTGCGATGAAAATAAATTTGCGTCGCAAAATACTTTCTGCGACGAGGCTATTGAGACGAACACGTGACAAAAAAAAAAACGTCGCAAAAAATAATTGGCGACAATTTTTTTTTTATTTAGCGACAAAAAAAATCGTCAAAAAACGATTTTTGTTGTAGTGAATGGATAAGAGAAGGAGCACACGCCTTAGAACCATAGAACCAAATTATTAAACAAAAATTCAAAAACAATTCAGTAGAGTTCAATAACAAATACTACCTAAAATGACCTAATAATACTTAAGACACAAAAGTAGTAACCAAAATCTCACCATACATAAATTATGTCCAAATTATTAAAATAACATGCAATTTTATTCGACCACCACTATAAAACTAAGTCCAAGGAACTTATAATCCTCTAACCGAAAATGCATGCATTCGACTATTAAAAATAAATAGAGCATTTCTTCGGGATAGATCAAAAATGCTCTCGCTTTGACAGAATCTGTGTTCAAGTACGCAAAAGCTGTCATTTGACTATCAATATCTAACCCTTCAACATCCATGACAGCTTTGTAAAGGTCTGAATAATTTATGCAAGACTTACTCTTCTCGTATGCATCCGTTAGTCTTACCATGTTATTTGCAACAACATTCATTGTTTCGACAACTATCTTTGCATTTTTCGACTTCTTTGAATTACGTCTCATAGGCTTTGAATATCCATGGTTGTGATTGCTTTGAGCATGTTTTTGACTACTGTCACTCTCTTGTTGTTGTGTAGATCCATTACCTTCTATACCATCCAAGTCATCGACTGTTGTATTCTCATTAAGATCAAATATCGGTGTGTACTCATCGTCACTATCATTCATTTGTCTTGATGAGTTTGCATTGATATATTTGCCTGAACATGCCCATGCTCGGGTTGCTTGATCATTGCCACAAACAATAGTTAATTCATCAATCATATCAATCTTTTTACCACGCAATCCTTTTGCATCTCGATTTGCCTAAAAAAATATATCAAACAATAGTTAGGCATGTTTCGATAAATTGCTTTCATTTTTTTTTATTGCAAAATATAAATTAGAAGTATTATTATTTAAAATGATACTTCCAACAACATATGTAGCGCAGACTTGATCACTACACTCGACTACTTTTGCCACTGGATTCCAAGCAAATTCACTTTTGCTCAACATATCCTGTATAAATCTAAACTTTTTCTTGATAGTTTTTAATCGATTAACACAATTCTCTCGACTCAGTGAAAGGTTAAAACTAGTACATATAGCAATTCTAGTACATTGAGCAATTGAAGATGGAAGAAAAACTTACTTATCAGTTGGTTGGAGTGTGATATAAAAAAAAAAGTTGGCTGAGCAGAGAGACAATCTTCCTTCAAGAGTTGGCTGAGAAGATGAGTTGCTAAGAGGAGTTGTGGTGTGCTACAAATAGGGGCGGAGTGGTAAAGAGAGAAACAGAAAAACAAGTTTCATGGGAAAAAAAAAATTCGTGCAGATTTTGTGGGAAATCAAAAACCATCAAATACAAGAAAATCTGATCTTGCGGAAAAAAAAATTTTTCCCGAGAATCATTCCTTTCTTGCTAAACAAACGCCAGAATTTTTTTTTTTTTTCTCTTTCTCCATTTTCCAGCATTCTCTCGCTAACAAAACAAAGCCTAAGAATTTTGTTTAGTCAATACTGTTGTACTAACGCTATTTGTTTAAATTACAGTAATTTATATATTAAGTTAGCAAATAAGATTCAAATAGTATTTTAATCAGAGTAACTATATGTCTTAGTTGCATAAAATACTATAATACTTTACCATTTATATTTTAACTCTTTTACTTATAATAAAATAAAGTGTCTTACTTATATAAAACACAACAACCATCTAACTTAATAAGATTTGACATCTTATATTACGATTTATATTTTAACATTTTAACTTATAATAAATTTTATTTAAGTTTTTACCAACAATAAACATTTTAACTACAATAAATATTTTACTCACTAATCATATATTATTGAGTATTGACATTTTAGTTCTTGTTTAATTTGCACATGAAGCTCAATCTTATTTATAGGGTAGAAAATATACAAAATGAAGGGTAATTATACCATACATCATATGGATCCAACTCTTCTTTTGACCTTATCATTTATGTGTAAGTTAAGTAGCTTTGGTTCACCTCTCCTCTAATTTAAAAAAAATTGAAGGATTTTTTAATTTTTTTTTTTTTTGAATGATCAATATTTATCTACTTCAGCAGACTCAACTAATTTTTTTTAAAAAAAAATTCTAATATTTAAAATTAGGTGAAACTATTAATGTGTACAAATTATGACTATTTAAAGTGAATTGAAAGATCCTTCAATTTATAATGCCCAACTCAACTCATATTAATGATATTTTTAAAGTGCACAAAACTATGCAAGGGTTATGTGGGTATTTTTAAAGTATATTTCGGGTATACCATAAGGAAGTAAAGTGAAATTTGCCCTAAAACATTTAGAAACTTGACTCCTGAATCATTGGCTGAAGAAATAAATTAAACTAATGTTATTAAAACTTTATAAAAATAGATGATATTTTAACATAATGACTGAATGAGTTGATAGGGTTAGCATTCTTGTAACAGTTTCAGATATTTTTCATTACTCGTTCTTTGGTAAATCTCACGGTTTATTAGTGATAGTGGTGCGTGATTTACTATTAAATATAATTGATACAAAGTGTAATGAATAATATCTCAATCTTTTTTATAACTACGACAATCATAATTGTCAAGTGATATCATATCCTCTACAGAATTAGTAGGGCAATTTATTATATCTTAATAACATTATCCAAAAATTACTTCTATACAAATTCTTGAAATATATTTTCTCATGAATATATACAAAAATGTGTCTAACCTATTTCTAGACGAAAAGAGGATACAAGTGCATCGGACAAAAATTCAACTATGAAATCTCTTCACCGTTATAGACCCACTGTTCACTGTCTATCGATTGCCAAGATCTGCGCCTGATGGGAGCGTTTGGATATCCGGTAAGGATAGGATTTTCAAACCCAATAAACTACTTAATTGGATGAGTTATGTTTCCGATCCGATCTAAACCATTGTTTAGCAAAGAACGATTCAATTTTATGGGACCCACAGATTTTGATATTTATTTTTTAGATATTTACTATTTTATCCATTTACATATCCAATCCAATACAATCTTCTGTTTGGATTTCCAACTTAACCTACAAACATCTATAATTTTTATTTTTTATTTTAATAAAAGAGAATTTTTATTTAAAAGAATCAAACAATTACAAGAATCAAACCAAAGAAGGAAATAAAGCCAAATAAGGCTTTAGTCCTTCAAAATGCAAACAAAACCGAGGGTTGGACAGAAAATCCTACTTGATCTTGAGTCAACATCTTCTTCAACGTCCTAGGTAGAGAACCTTGAATAGAAAATCTGTATAAGATAGCAGAATAGCCTCTTTGAACAGAAAAATCTGTAGAAGGTGCCGATTGAAGAGATGAAACCGAGGCTTGAGCGGGCTTCGTCCTTTTGCCAACCAGCTCTAACGAATCACTCTTTCTACTACAATCAACAACGCCGGAGTAAGGTGGAGATTGCCGGAGGTTGGGTGTCCTCTTCGACAATAAAGCGAGAGAGAGGTGGGGGGGGATTGGTGGCTTATCCCGTCTTCTTAGTCGCCTCTGTGCACCAGCCACAATGATGTTGATAGAGGGGCAAATATGTCTATAGGGGAATAACCCATTGACTCAGTTTGTAACCCACGAGGAGAGTGAGTTAATTATAACCGGTATAAGGGATTATGAACCACTGTTGCAATCGAGTCAAGACTTGACTCGGATTGTTATCCTACAGCAAAAAATATTACTCAAATAAAGAATAAATAACACTCATTACTTTATTTACTTTTATGGTGTTAATCCTCTCTATCCCATTATCTAAACACATCCGATCTACTTAAAAGAGAAATAAGATAAGTGTCACGATCAAACAAGAGTTTGTTATTTTACAAAAAAATTATGTCTATTAAGCAGTCGACTATGATATCAAAAATTAATTATTTATTAGTAACGTATTATTTTTATTTTTTTGGTTCTAAACTGTGGAATGGCAAATATTTTGGTAAATATTAAAAATTTATTTTTTGGCACCATAGAATAAAATTTATTATTTGGTACCCAAAAGTGTTATGGATGCATTTGAACTCAAATCAGACAACCTCTACCTATAGACTGTCAAAATCCACATCTTTTTTTAGACTGTCAAAATCTACATAAAGCTGATGGACTTGACAACGATGCGGAAAAAAATGAGTATTATATTTCTAACATTTATTATTTTAATAAATATTTTTATAATTAATTTTTTATTTATTTTTATAGATAATTTATTACTTTTATAAATATTTTTATCGTTATTATGAGTATTTTTATCAATATTGTAATAACTATTATTATTAATTTTTTTTTGTACAAAAAAACTTATCTATTTTATGGATGTTTTTATCACTGATGTGAGTGTTTTTTTATTACTATTGTAATAATTATTTTTATTATTTTTTTCGGTACCACAACAATAATAAAAACACCCACAAATATAATAAATGTAGATTCAAATGTAATAAAAATACACAAAAATGTGATAAATATCGATAAAATACTGAATTTTTTTTCCCATAGCTTAGACAATTCCAAATTGGAAAGCACCAAAACACCTTCAAAGTTTGCCAAAATAACAAACAAAGGATAAGCAAAACAATAATAATAATAAAATAAAAAATAACGATATCTAGACTTAATTTGAGAATTTAATTTGAATATCTAATTCAATATAACTATTAGGATAAAAATAAATTATATCTAACATTGAAACTTACAACTAATTTTAAAATAATTCTAATGTGTATACGAGAATCAATCTAAACTTTTTCTTATTAGTAACTGTTGGACTACGTTTGACTCATAACTAACTTTTTCGTGTTTATAAGTTGACCTTAAACGAATTATAAATAATTTTGTAATTCGTCAAAAATAATATTATTTAGACTTAATTTGTTAATTTTATTTATTAATATAATGCATCATAATCATCGGGTCATAATCAATAGTAAAATCTACTGTAGCAAAGAATGATTAGGACCCCAAATTATATTCACCTAGAATTTTCCTAGCATATTAGATCTAAGCAGCATTTCTCATGAGAGAGAGAGAGAGAGAGAGAGAGATTCCATTGAACACTGAGCAAGCCCTTCTACTTAATTTTTTTATCCTTATTACCATATAATTAGAAATACACCAAATAATAGTGCAGTCTATAAGGTAATTGTGCTCAAGAAGCTCAATTGCACAAACACCCATTGCTTTATTCTTCTGGCAAAACATACCTAGCTGCCAGTTCATAAGTTCGTACGTACGTAGTCGAACCACAATAGTAGGGCCATTCCATTCACTGCTTTGAGTGATGAGGTCTGGTGATCTTTTCGTACTTTTGAATCAAATATTCAACGCCTTCTCGCAGCCGTTTCCCTTTGGCAATTGAAAAATACAGCAGCCACAGGAAGGCCTAGCTCGTTCTCTTCCGCAAATTTCCGAGTGCTAAACCCATCCCTCAATGCAGGTGGTGGAGTGTTCACTGCCTGTCTTCTTTGTTGCTTGAACAGCAGAAACACCAACCTGTGAATCCCTATGTTTGGCCTTGGTTTCTCATAGCTCACCACCTCTTTTCCTGTGTATTTGTTACACCCACAAGTTGATTAACTCATTTCATCACATGCTCTCTCTCTCTCTCTCTCTCTCTCTCTCCAGTGGACAAGTAGACTTACCAAACGAGGAATCTGTTGTGCCTGGGATGTCTGTGGCCATCCTGTAAGATGGCCAAATCAAGTACAAACTGTTTAGTCCCTTGCTAATAGCTAAAATTGCACAATCAATGTTATTTGGACCTAAATCATTGATATAATTTTTTAATTTAATCACAAACAACTATTAAATATATTGACAGTGTGTTCCAATATTTGTTGGAACCCGCTACCAATTCAATAATTGTAATAGATTATGTCAACAAATTAGGCACGAATATTATTATTGATTGCATATGAGTAGACAAGCCATGATATTTTTCGTATGTGGGTAACCCTAACTGGTGTTACTATATAGTGCATGGTACTAATTAAACAGCATTATTGAAGCTTGTATTATATTTAGTGCTCAATTATTTCTTCATTTCATGAATTTTTTTTCTTAGAGTAGTTACTGGAGGTTTTATATCAGTATACCAGTGTAAGTGCTCTTTTAGGAATGGATCGCTAGGGCCTGGAACATCTGGGTCTGTCATGATCTGCCCAAAAAAAATAAAAAAGGTAGCTTCAAATGACATCACATGAAAAAACAAATAAATATTTTAAGAAGATTAGAGAACTAATCGATGGGGTAACTGGAAATACCAGTGTAAAGAAGGATCGCATATCACCCCCAAGAACATCAACCCTAGGTTTAGAGGTCACCATGGAAGGAAGAAACTCATGGCCATTATAGACTTGCTTGTTGGAGTTGTAAATTACAGACATCTTAACAGTTGGAGAGAAATTATCAATAACATCTCCAATCACTCTCCCAACTACGAGAGGATCTGATATTCGGGCCATTTTAGAGAGAGAGAGAGAGAAGGGCTAGGAGATTGGATCACACAATGGGTTTTCTTTCTTTCTTTTTGTTCTCTTGGAAGATCTTTTTGTTGAGCTTTGAAGTGGGAGGCTTGTATTTATAGGGCTAGGAAACACTGTTAAAGCAAATTCATGTTATTGGAGAATCAAGGGAGTGGATTTTTGAAAAAAAAAATAGATGTGAGCCTGTAAGGTGAGCAAAATACGATTTATTGGCATCACATTAGTCGTTCCTTTCTTTTTAGATAATTTAATGCTCCGTTTGATAAGAATGATGGAAGGTAAGGAGAATAGATAGTAGAAGAAATATATTTTCTATTTTTCAAAGAAAAAAAAAATGATTCATTTTTCTTCATTTATTTTGATTGGATAGATGAAAAATGAAAATGACTAAATTTTTTTTTTTTTTTGTGTTGGCTAATATTAGGGGTGACAATCGAGTCGTGTCATGTTAGATTCATGTTGAGTTATTACAGATTTGTGACGAACATTAGTCACACCTAATTCAACTCATTTAACTAATTGTGTTGTATCGAATTACGAGTTAATCTGTTTATTTTCGTGTTCGAGCTAATCAAGTTCGTGTCATAAAATTCGCATCATCAAGTTGAGTAAAAAATTTTCACTTCTAATTAAAATAAGCTGGAAAAATATTTTTTTAATTTAAATTTTTATATACATATTTTATTATTATATTTTTATATGAAATTAATGTATACATAATATATGTATATATAAAAAGATATATAGACAAATAAGATACATCTCAACACAAATAATTAACTCTCCATCCACTTTCTTTCCGATTTTGAAGAGATTGATTTGGGTGAGTTGGAAGAAAAGTTAATTCATTCATTTTTTCGTCCTTTCTATTTTCTTCCTTACCAAACATGATATTTTATTTATCCTTTCAACTTTCTATCCTTTCAACTTTTCATCTTTCTATTTTTTTATCATACCAAACGAAGCATAAAAGAAAAAATAAGAAGGATCAGCACATTAGGAAATTCTTTATGATTACACTAATGCTATGTTTGATAAGAAGGATAAAAAGTAGGAAAGATGAAAAGTATGAGGGATACACTTTCTATCATTTAAGGATGAAAAGTAAGAATGATACAATTTCCTTCTTTTGTGTTTGGTTGGATGGATGGAAAATAAAAATTATCAATTTTTTAATTTTTTTGTCTAATATTAGGGGTAACAATTGAGTCGTGTCATATTAGATTCATGTTGAGGCATAAAATTATGAGTCTTTCATATTTTTTGTTCGCGTGTCAGGTCATTTTCAAGTTCGTCTGAAGTTATAATCATATTCGTGTTATAAAATTCGTATCGAGTTCAAGTCATGTCATCATGTTGAGTCGAAAATTTTCACTCTAGTTAAGATGAAAAAAATATTTTTTATTTAAAATTTAAAATTTTTAATTTTTTTAAATATATATATAAATATATATTTTATTATTATATTTTTGTATGAAATTAATGTATACATAATATATAAACAAATAAGATACATCTTAACATAAATAATTAATTTTGCATCTATTTTTCTTCTGATTTTGGAGAGATTGATTTTGGTGAGTTAAAATGAAAGTTAATTTATCCACTTTTTCATCCTTAGAAAGCATGTTTATTTTTTTTCTCTAATTTTTCATCATTTTATTTTTTCATTATACCAAATGAAACATAACTCATTTGAAAAGAGAAGGCCAAACGGAAATAAACAATTGGTAAGGGACCAGCTTAAGCAACTATGGGCCATTCTAATTGCAAAAAAAAGTACAATATTGACAGTGGACTTAACCTTCATGCGGGTGTTTTAAAATTAATAAAAAGTGGGATTTTTTTAGCGAATCTAGCATTACACCTTTAAAAATAGGAATAATAGTTTTGGGATTTTTAAAAATGATTGAATAACGTAACATAATGATATGTCTAGTGATATAATCTGAATAAAAAACGATTAATATTACAATTATGATATTGAACCTCGTCAGCTATTATCAAAAAATTAAGTCAAATTTTTAAGAAATGGCTTCAGAATTAACTTGTGCTGCTCTCTCTATCCCCTCTTCTATCTCACACTAGCTAGTAATGTGGGCTTTGTCATTCTTTAGCTTAGCTGCTAGCTAGAGAATCATGTACGCGAGGGATTGCATGCACAAGAATAAAAGGGCAATGAAAAGATGATTTGACATGCAAGTTTTAGCTAGGATAATAATCTATTTAACAAAAGGGATCAAAAAAAAAATCAAATGATATAACGTTATACTATTATTTGTTATATTTAATTTAAACTATTAAAATTTTTAAATTTTGTTCGTGGTGTTGAGTTTTTTTAGCCCATTTAGCATTATTTCAGTGGTAACTACTCTCCCTCCCTCACTCTTATGTGGGTTTCCGGTGGGCGTTTCCATCTGCTATTTTTTAACTAAAATCAAAGACACAGAATTTTAAGATATTCTGTGGAGTTCACATTCTAAAGCAACTACAACCTTTAGGTCCTTTTGTTCTTAAGGCAAAAAAGGTGAAATTCCTCATATGGGTGTTATTAGAACTTTCCAGATCTGATACTTCTTAAATGACCTAGGTGTTTAGTGAGATTATTTAAAAGAAGAGTTGAGGGTATAAAGGAACTCCACCACAATTGCACAAAAAAAGATAAGTTAGTTTGTGAGGTGGTCATATCAGGGAAAAAGATTCAGTTGAGCTTATTCCTAATCAGAAATTGGCAATGGAAGAGAGTGGGTTGCCATATATGGACTTCTTCATAACTTTTTGAGGCGTTGAAACCAATGTTATCAGAACCGGACCAATCATCAAACCACCTAGGACTGGGTCAATGATTCACTGGTTTAACTAGTGGGTCACTGGTCGGACCGGTCATATAATAAAAAAAAAATATATATATATATATATAATAATTGTAAAACATAATAATTTAGCTAAAACATATAAAATATGTCTAAAATGCATACAATTTGTCTATGTTTTTTCTGGGGATGCAATACTGTTGTATTTTCTTAAAATTTCTGTTTCCCTCGTACTTTCATGAACAGCCGTATCTGCTTTCTACCATGAACTAACGATCTCTTTGTTTATTTCCTTTTTGCCTTCTGTTTCGCCCCTAGGTATAAGCATTTTTTAATACTAAAACTTTCAGTCAGATCAAGTGGTTGCTAATGCTTTCGCAAATTCCTGAAGTGACTGAGATTCCAAGCTCAGTCGTATTTGCAAGGCTTAATTGATGGATTTAGCATGAGTGATGCTTTGGAAGTTAAGAAAATTGAAGCAGTGACCAACCATGATTTTACCCATCGAATCACAACAAAACTTTTTACCTTAAAGGGAGGAGTTGAGTTCGCTGGTAGCTGATCGCAGTCGAAGATCCCTGCCCCTGGACCCTGGTCGCTGATAGCAGTCGAAGGAAGAACAGTTCGCTGAAGGGAATTTTTATTTATAACTTGAAACTTTATTTATAGTTTGATTGAATAATTTTGAATAGTTATGATTATTAAAAAATACTATGATTTGAATAGTTATGATTATTAGGAAAATACACTAGTTGAAAGGTTGTGACTTTTAAGAAAAGATACCTCTTTAGAAGGGAATTTTTAAGAAAAAAATATATACTTGGATGGTTGTGACTTTTGGAAAAAAGACACCAAAATGTCTATGAATATAGTCTTAGACTTCATTCACAAAACACACTAGAATTCTGTATAATTCCTCTCTCTCTCTCTCTCTCTCTCTCTCTCTCTCTCTCTCACTCAGAGAGAATTATAATGGTTCAATGAATTTTTTTTGGATGTTTTTTAATATTGCTAATTGTAGTTCTTCACCTACGCGCTTTGTTGTATCCTATAAGTCATTTATCAAGAATCTTTTAACAAACTCTTTCAAGTGGGACCAAATATCACTTTAAAGAAGTGATCATACATGCCTCAAAACCTTAATTTTATTTTATTTGTCAATCTGCTTGAACATTTTCTAGCACCTCCTTTGCCATTATGCCGAAATTTAAAACGTTTAAAAGTTAGTTTATAAATTTTCAAGGGTTTAAGTTACAACTTAAAATTGTTTAAATTACAACTCAAAATTAAAGTGGTGATCGACCATAAAAATATCGTGACAAATCACAAAAAATATAACTTTTAGAAGTCAAGCAACACTTTTTATGTGGAGCTATGACTATTCATGATCAATGAGAGATGAATCAATCACAACATAATTTTTGGTACCGTTTCATTAGTTTATAGTTCTGGCATGCACATAAATTTGGGTAAAATATACTTTTAGTCCTTAAAGTATGCGTTTAGTGTCTATTGGTCTCCAATTTTTAATTATGTCTACTTTGTCACTAAAATTCTTAATTTGTATCTAAATAGCCCAATCTCAAAAGTCTATTAAAAAATCATGACGATTCTGATCATATACCAATCACGTGTGTGGCAAACTTTTCTCAATTTTTTAGAAACAGGATGATCGACGCAAGTTTAAATGGACAACTCTCAAATCATGTCGATTTTATACTGTTATGAAAAGCAAAGAGTGCTAGATAGAGAATGAAAAAAGACTGCTCTCTTTTTAACAGTTATAGAGATGAAATTTGCAGATCTGAGAGCTAGGACGGAACTAGTGAGTAACGATTACTCTATAGTTTGGAATCCAACCATGCTTTATTATTAAAGAGAGGGACAATACTTGTAAGGGGTAGAACCCTCCACTCAGGATTTCGGCTTGACCTGGGTTAACCCACGCGGGCGACCCCCCAGTAGCCTTTACCTCTCTTCGCCAATAGGACCCTTTCCTAAGGCAATCCCACATCGGAAGAGAGTCGTCTTCCCCCCTCGCATATAAGCCCTTGCACTCAAAGGAGGAGGTACCCACTAGCGACCTGATCAGGTGCCTAGTGGGTACCTCCTCCTTTGAGTGCAAGGGCTTATATGCGAGGGGGGAAGACGACTCTCTTCCGATGT